AGAGGCGACTCCTTTGTTTACTCTTGGACTTGTTTGCCTACCGGCTTATAATGACGGGGAGGGGGAGCCGCTTTGGCTTTTCTCCCCCCCCCTTTAGCCCAGGGGTGTAAAACGAGGGGGGGAGGAGGAGGACGCCAGAGCCGCCAGTGCCTCCCCCCCCCCAAGATCTGGGGGGGGGGGGGGGGAAGACATCCAAGGAGGGGGGTGGGATTCTGGAGGTCCTGTCCGGAAACAGGCTTTGCCCCCAGGATTCCCGGGGTTTTCCTTTTATTTTTGGAAAGTATTTTTTTTTCCAGAAAGGGAAGAAGGAACAACCAGCCTGTGGCCGCTGGTGGGAAATGCTCTTCAGTCTCCAAGGGAATATTTAATTGCCAGCTCAGCTTCCTTGGGGCCACATGCTTTTGGGGTCCGGTGGTTGTCCTTTTATAGCCCTTGGCTTGGGCTCTCCAGGGCTGCTCCGATGGGCCTGGTCTCAAGAGTGGTTCAAAGAGGTGATGATTTCAAAGTCTTATGGAACAAGTTCCCTCTCTCACGCCTTGTCCTCTTCTTCTGTTCTCTTCCTTCGGGACACCTCCAGACGCCGCACCAGGCTGCAGGACAGCCCTTTAAGTTCACCATCCCGGAGTCTCTAGACCGGATCAAGGAAGAATTCCAATTCCTCCAAGCTCAGTATCACAGGTAGGGTCGGCTGGTGACCTCCCTTGCTTTGCCAAGCTTCTTCTCCTGTTGGGGCTTCCAGGTCATCCCAAGCCATGCTCGCTTGGGCCGTGGGGTGTGCTTGGCTTCTTCCGAAATGTACTTAGTATGCGTGCCCAGGTGGTGGCGCGTGGCGTCAGTTTTAAGGCTTGTCACTCACAGCAGAAGGCGGTCAAAGTTTTTTTTTTTAAAAAAATAAATAAATAAAAACAATAGTCTGCTTGCTTGCTTTATGTATGTACAGTATGTATGTATTTACTTACTTACTTACTTGGATAGCTGCAGTTTGGGCCAATGTCTCACTCCACCCCACCCCTCAGAATGTGCTTTCAGAGTTTCACAGGAATTGTCAATATTTGCTCTGGAAACTTTTGAAGGAATCCAGTCTGACATTGGACCACGCCGTGGTCTCTTCCCTCCCTAGTCCACCATTCTGTTACAAAATGCTTGAAAATTCTATTGAATCGTGATTGCTCTGAAAAGGGAGGTGCTGGGGATGCCACCTAGAAGTATAAGGTTCACATTCCTCTTGCCTGTGGGGCCTGAGCCTTTACCTTGGCTACCAGGTATCTGATCCTTTCCAAATTTGGCTCAGAACTAATTCCCACTACGATCTGTGAGGCTTACTCTCAAATAGGTGTTCATCAGAGGGTAGGTGGGGTGCTTGCATCCCTTTTTTTAAAAAGGAGGGGTTTCTTTTGGTTTCTCCACTAAGTATACTTATTTGTTAGTTTGCCCAGTAGAAATGACCTAAAAGCAAACACATTTGTAGGGCTGGGCTGTTAGTGTTTTATCTTAGTTTGCAGCAAACACACAAAACTGGGGACAGAGTGGTATATTGCTGGAGCACTTTGTGTACACAGTCTTAACACAAAAGATCAAGCCCATTCAGATAAGTTGTGTTGAAACAACAGTTTGAGCGGATCAGGTATTACAGTATACTTTTGCAAACACCCTTTAATCATAATAGAAAACTCAGGCCCTTGGAAGTTTCTAAAGGATTTGTCTTGATGGCCTTCAGGCTTCCGTTCGGAGCTAATAGCACTTCGTTTTAATCCCGGTTGCTGGAGTTTTAGGAGTAAATTTCCACTGGTGTTAAATTTATGTAAAAGAGCTTGAGGCATAACAGCTTGGTTTTGTACATGCTTACTTCAGAGTAAACTCCAGTGTGCTCATGCGTACAAGTAATTACACATTGGACTGTAACTGGGTGGTATACATCTATGAATATTTACTTAGTATGTTTCACTTTTAGTTGGGGTTTGTTCTAAGTTAATGTAAACACAATCCCAACATACAGCACATGTTTTTACTTTCCATTGAGAGGCATAAATTCTAATATAAGTGAAGTTCATGGAGCAAGCATTTAATGGCCTCACTGAGGTTGTACTAGCTGAAGATAATCAAGATAATCATATTTTTTAGTTTAAAAATATTAATTTTGGTTACAAGTATTTCATTATCTTTTAGATACTGCTACATGGTACAAATTCAAATGCATTACTTATGTTTTTGTTTGTTGTGTTTAGAATCAACTTCATAATCCTAGGCAGAAATGTACTTCCACTTATGAAATGATATGTAATTTCAAGTCTTCTTACTAGTAATTGTTTAAGAAGAACACCTACAGAAGAGTACAGCTGTGATCATTCTTAATTCCCTTGCTTTATCTATTGTTGTGAAGTGGTTACTTTTCTGATTTCTCACACTGGCAGGAATGCTGGAAATGTACTTGGCTGCCATTTCTAACAACCATGGTTTCCCTTTACACGCATGGTTTCTATATACCATTTGAATAAGCAGGGGTGTATGTGTTTAATCTGATCTGGATAGATATTATGTACTCTGCATATTTGATCTTGGTCTCCTGTATTAAGGCAGCATGCTCAAGCTTCTCCATATTTACCCTGTGATATCCTGTGATGATTTTCCAAGCTAGTTTCTTTCTAGAGTGCAAATAGAAGGAAATGGTCAAAATGACATACTTAAGTGTACCTGTTTTTCTTTTTCCCTAGCCTTAAATTGGAATGTGAGAAACTGGCAAGTGAAAAGACAGAAATGCAAAGGCATTATGTGATGGTAAATGCGACTTTGGCTACTTGTTTGTTTTGTTAAAGTTCATAATTGTAGAACTGAAAAGGATTTCGGAAGTTATCTAGTCCAACCCTGCCCCCCCCATCCCCAATGGAGGGCTATCCACCCTTTGATTAAATACCTTTGGGAAATGCCCACAGTCTCCCAGGGCAGATTGTCCTACTGTCTTACAGCTGTTACAAAGTCTGCTGAAATCACCCTGCTCACCCTGCAAAGCAAGAGAGAAACAGTCTTCTGCCTGACACGATCACTAAGCTGTATTTTTAATTTTTAACAGACTTTTTCCCTTTTGTTTTTCATAGTACTATGAAATGTCATATGGATTAAATATCGAAATGCACAAACAGGTAAGAATCTGATAATTTAAAAATCACCAGAGGTGGTTTTGTTTTGATGGGGAATCTTTGTATTTATAGTTAAAAATTACCACTCGAAAAAAGGGCGAGGAAGGGTAGAGGCAAACTAGACAGATTTTCTGTAAACTTCCAGTTGGCTATACAAGCTTTGTAAAAAGCAATTAAGATAGCTGTGGGAGTGTCCTGTTCGTCAACAGTGCTTCAAAGACATTTGAAGTTAAATGCTTTCAAGGAAATGGATTCCTCTGAGGAAATTCCACTTTGGCACAACCTTGGGTCCACCTGCCCAGTCTTTTATGTCTACGCAGCATATGGTGAGGGTTGCTCGTTGCTCGGCTCCGAGCAGTGTAAAAAAATGAAAAGATTAGTGACTTGGAAAGCTCTCCGTTATGACTGAGTTTGCAAGTTCCCATAAAATTCACACTTATGGCCACTATAATGGTGAATAAAAAGAGTATTGAACTGGAACAAGGCACTAAGGACCTCATAAGGGAAGAAAAGCTAAATGATTGCTCAGCCCAAAGGACCTTCAATTGAGTAGTTATTGTCTGCCAAAGAAAGCATTAATGGCAGGGTGTAAGTATTCTGTAGATATGCTGACATCCACTTTTTCATCAAGATGCTGGTACAATAAGTCTTTCAGAAATCGATGGCCTCTTTAAAAAATTATCATTAGATGAAGTTGCACAGTTGGACACATTTCAAAGTGCAACAATACAATTCTTTCTTGATGTATATGTGCTATTTCATCTAAAACTCTTGTTTCATTAAATTAAAGAGCATGGCTGACCGGCTAGGGCACAGTGAAGAAATTGATTAGTTCAGGCTTCACATCTTCAGTGTATTCAAAGGGTTCCATTAAGCAAGTGTGTTTCAGTGCTGAATTCTGCTTTTGTAACTCTGGGCTCTTTGATTTGGGTGCGTGGGGGGGGGGTTGGGTCGGGCTTTAAGAGCCATCAGGTTTCAGAATATTGTATTTGGAGGTTTAAAGAAATAATGACAATGTTATTAGTTGATGTATTTTAGGTGTAGTTAGTGCATTTGGTAGTGCATGTTGATAGAAATTATTCACTCATGCGAATATCATAGCTTTGAGTATATTGCTGATGTAGCAACAGTTTTAAAAAGGAGAGGGAAAAAAAAGAAAGAATTTGGTTCTCCTGTTCTTCGTAATAATTTCCTGCTATGATTGTCCTGAAATATTGTTCTTGTACTGATAGAAATTCGAATGTTTATCTTGGACAAACAAAAGGTCTAATCTTTTTTATGGTTTTCCTTTCTATTAAACTGAGATTTATATGCAACACCTTGTGCTATATCATGGTTTGTATTTTTTGGGGGGTTTAATTGGTTCTACTTTTGCTTAACGTTATGACTGCCACTCGAATATCTTCTAGGGTAACGAAAAGATGGGCAATTTAGAAAAGGAAGTAAACACTGAATTCACTTTTAAACATTAAACCAATAAAGTTTAAAGAGCTTTCAAGTGGAGACCTGTGGCTTAATCTGTGAAATTCCTATGTCAGTTTTGTTATTATTATTTTTTGTATAAGTTCTTATGGTGTGGCATTGCCTATGTTAGATTTTGTGTGACAGTGTGAATTTCCTGTACTACATAGATGTACAGTTTGGCGAATGCTGTATTCATATGTAATATGAGTTGGCAAGTTCATTAAATTCAGCAGTTCTGTTACCTTCATAACCCAGGGCAGTAAGAATGGGAGGGAGGACTTTCTCTGTAGCAGCACCAAGATGGTGGCACTTCTTCCTGGATCAGCTCCATTTTTGTTGAGCTTTCAGCAGCTAGTCAAACTGTCTGGCCTTTGACTTTCTCTCTTTTTAATTATTTTTTCAATATACAGTAGATATATATATCACCTTGGGAGCTGTCCCTGGTGGGCATAACAGTGATCTATAAATACGTGTAATAAATATATAAAACTGTAGAGAAGAGTACAGTAGATAAATGCTAACTTTTAACACACATTGCTTTCAATTGCACAGAATTTAGTAAATCCTGTCCCCGCCAGAGCAAAATGCTCTAAAAAAAACCCCCATGATGTCTGTCTAGGTAATCTTTGGGCATTAAAAAGTGTGTGGGTGGAGGAAATAAACCATCCTAATTTTAAACATGGACAGTATGTTCCTACTGGGCGTTTGGTAGAGAGTAATCATAATTCTTATTAAAACTGGTGATGTGTAGCCCCTAGGGTGTAGCCAGGCTCAAATTGATGCTTTTTGCTGGCTGATCACCAGCCTGGCCTAAGTGCTCATTATGTTGTAGAGAGAGGGCCTTCAGAGCTCTCATTACATTTGACAGGAATTCTCTCTGGGGGAAACTGGGCATTAGCTAGACTCCTGACAGGCTGAAATTATTCCTGCTTTATGGCTTATAACCAAATGCTTAGCAAGGCATCATCAGTGGACACAAAAGTTGTCATATCTGACAACATCTTTTTTTTGCCTCCTGAAAAATGCAATGATGGGGAAACTTTTCACCAAGCTTTAATGATAGTGAAGTCTGTATCCAGTGTTCCCCCCTCCCCATGAATGCCTTCCTAGATCTCTTTCTGCACCCCCACAAAAAAACGTACAATGAAGCACTGTAATTGCTTTTTCTAACATTGATAGACAATTATTTCTCCTTGATGAGGAAATTATGTATTGCACAGTTTTGCTGTGACTCTTTAGTGTTAGCACAGTACTTTTTTTGTAGATTTGAATGCTTGTTTATTAATTTATTTAACTTACATACCACCCAGTTGTACAATGTGCACTCTCTGGGTGGTTAACAGTCTGCACATAAATACAAATAACCCAATAAATTAAAAACAGTGCATAATTAAGCAATATAATAGGAAGCAGTACAATACAATAAAATGCTACACCAAAGCCAATATAAACCAGATTTAAAACATTAAGTCATCAAATGGAGGACATTAATAAGAATCATCTAGTCCTGGTTTTTAAACTTTAGGAGTCTGAAAAATATTTCTTTTTGTGAACTTGGCCAGGTAAATGAATTTTGAGAGGGATATAATCTCATATTCTGTTTCCTGATCCCACTGCTAAATCTCTCCCTTGTCAAGAAGGCAGAAAAGGGAACTATGTTGTGCTATCCCTCAATTATGATTTTGTATTCTCCTACGCCAGGAAGTAGTGTTAGTGTTCTGACATACACACCCTATTTCCCTGAAAATAAGACAGGGTCTTATATTAATTTTTGCTCCAAAAACGCAGTAGGGCTTATTTTCAGGGGATGTTTTATTTTTTTCATGTATAACAATCTACATTTATTCAAATACAGTCATGTCATCTTCTGGTTGCTGCACAATGGTGAAGGGTGGGGTTTCACTTAACTAGGGCTTATTTTGGGGGTAGGGCTTATATTACAAGCATCCTGAAAAATCCTACTAGGGCTTATTTTTGGGGAAACAGGGTAGCTAACTCTAGATCTGAAAACCTGCTGTTTGCTGCTTCAGAGAAGGTAGTAAAAGGTCATGGAACCTCCTTAAAGAAGTCTTGAAAAAAGTAGGCATTGAATTAGGTTGGGACTTTTGGCCGCCTTTTGTAGAGTTGAGTTTTGGGAGGGTTATCACCTGCTTCTTCTACTGAATACCACCAGTTACATTTACTTGATTTTTTTTCCAAACAGTCTGCAGGTTATAAGAGTACTGCAATGTGAGGTAAAGAATTTTCAGGGTTCAAATGTGCTAGTGTAAGGGAATTTATCCCTCTGGCCAGTTGAACTCTCTCATGAGTGGACCTGTTCTCATAGGATATAAAGGTCCAAACCCTTGTTTCTAGAACAAAGTCATAGAAACACAGAAGAGGGCAGAGGGAACAAAAAGCATTATTTTCATATAACCTGTACTGATGTTTTCTTGTGCCTGACAGAAGTAGTAATAGTGTTCCCTTTTGGGGGGGGGATGTGCATGTGAGACATCATGTTATTGTCTTTATGAGCTTACAGTGTTCTCAGTTACTTGTGCATTTTTGTCATTATGGGAAATTTGACAGTGAATTCCTTCTCCAGCTAATATTTGGGAAAACTGCATTGGCACTCAAGTCTCGAAACCCGATGTAAATCTTTTGAGGGAACTGCAGTAAAGGTCCTGAGCTTTATGCCAGTATTTCATGTCTAAAAGACTTGCTCATTATGGCAGTTCAGGGTGAGTGGTGGTCACTGTGGTAAATTCTGTGCCAAGACGAAGAGCAATCTTGGATATTAGTAGCTGCCTGGGAAGATGTCAGTGTGTCGTTCTTGCCAGTCATGTCTGTTGGTGTCTAGAATGAACCAGAAGGTAAACCTTGTGTGTTAAAAGCCTCCAAATGGTTGAGGTGTGAGGTTAGTCTTTGCTCTGTAGCAGCCAGCCAAAGTGAGATAGATGGATCACTGGTGAACTCAGTGAAGGATGATATCATGTACTTCAGCATTTGAGTTTCTGCCATCCTGAAACTGACAGGTGGGCCTTTGCTCTTTTTCCCCTCCCCCCTTCAAAACCTCACCATGTCTTCTAGGGCAGGGGTCCCCAACCTTTTCCTCCTCCCCCCTTCTTGCTACCAAATAGCTTCAAAACCTCACCATGTCTTCCAGGGCAGGGGTCCCCAACCTTTTTAACCCCGCAGACCGGCTGGGGAAGGCGGGGCACCCCCTCGCGCTCGTGTGCTTGCGCGAAGGAGCGGGAGGGTGCTCGTGTAGGCTTGGGTGAGCTTGTGCACATGCGCAAAGCACAAGGAAGGTGGGGTACCCCTTCGCACTCGTGTGCTTGCGCGAAGGAGTGGGAGGGTGCTCGTGTGGGCTCGGGTGAGCTTGTGCACATGCGCAAAGCACAGCTCTCGTGCACATGCTCAAAAGGGTGGGGGAGCGGTCACGTGGGCGTTGGCAGGCGCACACATGCTCAGAGGGGCTGTGCGGGGGGGATGGGAGGTCTGTCTCCATGGCCTGGTCTGTCTCAGGCCCTAGACCGGCACTGGGCCGTGGACCGGGA